AAAGAGCAAGTGCAGTATCAGTACACAACCACAGTGTACTGGTAGGATCACACGGTTATCCCAAAAGGTGAAACATATATAAGTCATTACAACAATAATAAACATGCATACACCAAACATATACAATATCAATTATCACCTACGAACAACATACAATTTCACAATCTCAAGATATACAATTATGTCAAGTCATTGGTCCTCTCACGGAACTCAAACCAAAACTGTTAGCGTATCGGTACTGGTACCCGATCTAAGTTAGTGTGCTGGACATGACATCTGATCCCATATATGCGTCGGAACGTGGTACCCGATCCAAGTTAGTGTGTCGGAACATAACACCTGATTCATTCAACAAGCCACAATCACAATCACAATGTACATTCTCATAATCACAATCAAAATGTACATTCTCATAATCACAATCACAGTGTACATTGTCATAATTATACAATCAAGTCATGATTCATGGCATATAATTATTCAATCATCCTCATTTACGATTAATGTGATGAATAGTGCAACATTCACATACATACATGCATCATAATGAAGTAATTACAAATACATATCACACCAACATGAGATCATAACTATCACCTACCTCGAACAAAACTTGAATCCCCTAAGAAACTTGATTCTTCCCTTTCTGGATTATTTACGCTTGTTCATGGTCTACAAACAATCATAATAATGCGAAGATCAAATAACAAGACCTAATTATCTGGATTATAACCAATAACATCAACCCTAGGCCAAACCCTTGATCCCCATACTAGGTTAGGGTTTCTTCCACCATAAATCACAGATCAAAACCCTCTCCCATCGATAATTACCCAAGAAACTAAGTTCTACAGATCGAAAAGTTGATTCGGGGAGTGAAAACCTTACATTTGGCCTCAAGAATGGTGCAAAACTGTCAAGAAAACACCTGGGGTCGATCCTTAGCTCTCAAAGTCGAAACTTGCATAATAAAATGTTTTTGGGGTTTATTTTTTACTTAAGTCGCGTCTGTCCCGCCACAGCGGTCCTCACCCCGCTACAGCTGCCCCGCCCTGGCGGAAAATCCTGCCTTAGCGGCTTGCACGGAAACAATGAGCAAATTTAAGAATTCCAAACTCTCATTTCATAACACACCTTCATCCCATGACACTCAGAAAATACATGTTCATGCTAAGATCTGCTTCGGGAGTTCTACCCACCCGAATTCAATTCATAAAGTCATACGGATTCCTCAACATCTTAGTTATCTACTCATATGATTAAATTCATAATTAGATCTCCCAATTGTTACCAGATTTCCCTAGACCTTACTGACTCCAATTTCGTCCAAATCTGGACTAGGTTGGGAAATTCAAAGTTAGTACCAAAAAGTTTTCCAACCTAAAATTTTTCCCCGTTGGCCTTTCTATAACGACGGAAACAGGTTGTTACACTTTAATAAAATTCAAAAATTCAAAACAGGACACATATAAATGACTTTAGAATCTCAAAAAATTTATCCCCTATTGCCTTTGGACAATGTGGAAAGCATGGAATAAATTTCATTTTCAAGGAACACTTACCTCACTTGACTAACTAAACCTCAATATTTTTTCTTACATGTTAAATAGCAATCCCCTTGATGCCCTAACTCATACTAAACATTGGATTCATGATGGGTCACTCTTCAAATTTGAGTGGTATTGGAGAAGTTTTTATAAACATTTTACTAACTGAATCGTAGGATTTATAGGCACAATTCAAAAAACATATGCTCTTACTATTGAGCTTCATGCTCTCTTTCAAGGTCTAATTTTAGCGATCCAAATTAAACTTGAGCCATTGGAAAAAAAATATAAATTCTCATTAGGTGGTTCGCTTACTGAACAGCTCACACAATGGCTACTTACATTTCTTGATGATTGCAGGTACTCCTTCGTCTGCTTATTAATCCCATCATAGTAGATTGTATGCCTTGCTTGTTGGATCTAAATCTGCTATGTAGTTATCTAATATCTTATTTTTCCTACCTACTTTTTGAAGAGAAGTAGGTGTAGGCTCTTTTCAATAGTGAAATCGTCTAGTCCTACATATTTGACTCGAAATCGAACAATCTAACCATGACCATGTTGAATAGACCTACTTTAAGGCTATTCGCGTCCCTTTTGACTTAGGATAGGCTCACACTTAGGCTATTTGTGTCCCTTTTGAATTAGGATAGGCTCACACTTAGGATTGGTTTTTGAAACTCACTAAGCATGGGAATTCTTTTTATCTGCACGGCACAAAACATACTAGCTGATAGGCTAGCTATCATGGCCACCTCTAGGACTTGAAGTTCTATTACTCTTTATTTTTGGACACTCCACAATATTTGATGGATATTTTGCAAGCAGAATTTGGTAAATGAATTGATGACTTTAATTTTATTTACTGAAGAGCAATAAAAGTCTCTTGCTTAATATAGAAAAAATACGCATGTTAATTCATCTAAGAACAATTGTCACTGTAATTAACTATTATTTGTTGATTACATAATGTTATAAGAAATTTGTTGTCACAAAACTAGTAACTAATTAAGATCATATATTCCTAAAGTTATAAGTATTTTTTCCTTATTTACCATATGTAGCAACATTTTACATTTTCTAGAAATCCTAGGGAAAGGCCATGCATAGTACGCAACCCATTTTTGTTTCTGAAATTCAACTCGTGAACGGTGAAGAAACGAAATAGAAAAGCTTTTCATACACAAAAATTGTTCAATTCACCACCACCACGAACCCATTTTTATTTTTATTTTACCTTAGCAAAATGATGTAATTTTTTAGGATTTATAAGAACAATTCATAAAACAAATGCCCTTAATATTGAGCTCAATGCTCTCTAACCTAGTCTAATATTAGCGATACAACATAACCTCAGACCATTGAAATAAATATAGATACTCACAAGGTAACTCTCTTACTGAACAACTCACGCGTTAACTACTTACATTGCTTGATGATTGCAGGTACTTCTCTAAACGTCAAAGGACTTAACTCCTATAGTACACTAGTTTGATGCATCATATGAGTCATTAAAACTTGGGTAGACTTCTGATTTCCATCTGACTTTTTCACACATTTGACACATTTCACATTTTTCACACATTTTTTCATTATACTAGTTTAGCGCGCGCACATGATAGAGCATGTACACCAATATGATTTTGTATTACATTGTAAAATACATTTGACTTATAAAATAAATTTAAAATGGAAAAAAGTGCGAGTTTAAGAAATTATGAAAGTTGATCTTGTTTAACTATATAAAAAAACTCTATCTCACAAAAGTCTTCGTATTGTTATTTCAATACTTAGTGGCAGACTGTATTGACTTATAGTTGCATTACTCATAATAATTATGTCTTTTTTGTTACATTTACACTTATTTAAGAAAACACAATAGAAAGGTAAGCTTAACATATATAGCCAGCTTGCATAATTCAAACAAGATGAACTAATAAATTTGACAGTAGAAGCTTCACAGACCTCGAGAGAGGAGTATCAATAACTTTTTTCAAGCATTAAATTTCTTTTCAACATTGTAAAACTTGTTTTTGATGTTATTTACTAATTATTTGTACCAAATAAACTACAAAGGTAGTGTGAAATCTACATGATTCAAATGCCTACATTATCTCAACAAAACTCAAACGACTAAATGAAAATTTAAAATTCAAATTGATCCTAAAGCTGAGCAACTTATTTTGCTAAAGATTACTGCAATCACTAAATTAAATTTCAACAACGTTAAATGATCTATTATAAAAAGTTCTATGCTTTAGAAAATAGACGGTCCTAGTTGCAATATTTAACTTTTTCCGAGTTATATTTTTCCGAAAAAAGTTATGTTAAACAATTCGTCTTTCCTTTACCCTTACAAGGATATTGAGATTTAGCTTGTATTGGTTTAATTTTAATCAAATCATATTGGTGATCTATTCTTCCCAATTTAATTTAATAAGAGTAGATAATGTCATTGTTTTGTCTTTCTCCTAACTAACTAGACTTTCTAGATTTGCAAGAATTTGGTTTAATTATCAAGTTGACCTATAAATTAAAGTTAATATAAACACCGTAGATATTGAGGTTAGCTTATTAATTTTTTGTAAATCAAGATTATGAAGTGTTGAGTTTTGACAATTAAAATATTTTTTTTAGTAAATTTCATGTTTAAAGATATTCAAAAAGGTTGAAACAATATCTAATTGTCAACTTTTACTAGCAAAGAGTATTCATATGAAACACTTAAATTATAACCATTTTATCCTCTTCTATTTATGGCGAATCATTTTAAATTTAAGAGTTAACTTTAATAAATTGTTGGAATATTTATTTGCAACACAAAGAGTAAAATCCAATGAGCGTGAAATCGAAACAAAAAGAAGACTAGATTTTCACTATATTATGAAAAAGATTAATGGTTAAATGAGCTTTTTTAAACACGAATATGTTTGATGTGATCCCAACAATAAAATTGTTGCAACTTTATTTTTGATGATGAGGACAAAATGGTCAAGAAGATGTTATTTTCAACATTCACCCTATTTAGGCTTCAATTTTCATTGCTTAGCATCATATTCTCCATTTGAAATCTAATTTGAAAACTTAAATTCTACAATCACTTGTATAAGTATATATTAAGCATCACTCCTTCGGTCATTCATTCTCATTGCATAGTAAACATCAGTATCAAAAATCTAAATCGACTATTAAATAAGTATTTAAAAAAATATCTTTTATTTAATTTTTTTAAAAAAACTTAATTTTTACAAGAATAACGTGTCATACCAAATCAAGTATATATACAAATAAAAAAATGAAATGGATAGATAGAAAAAAGTGTAAAGCTTAATATCCACTTATTTAAAAGTTTAGATCCGCCTCTTTCGTCCAAACTCCAAAATAACCCAAACAGTTCTAGAAGTGTTAGTATTTGGTAACTTCAAAAAAACAAAAAAATAAAATAAATTAAATTAAAAACTTTTATCAAACAGCTGGGCCTCCCATCTTCCTCTTCCTCTGTTTTCTGCATGCTGTAATATAGCACGGCCAGCAGGGAAGAAACCGGCAGGCACCGGTACTGGCAACGTCACCGGCAGGGAAGTGTTTGGTGAAATCAGAAACTCAATCGTTAGATTCAGAGTAATAATAATAATTCTTCGCTTAGTATTTAACGGGAAGACAATTGTGGTTATCGGGTTTAATTCCTTCAATAAATTACAATAATCATGGCGGCTGCCGTGGTAGCAAATGGGAAACAGAAATTAGAACAAAGAGGGCCTAAAATTGGGGTTATTAGTGGTCCGACCAATCCAATGGTGACACCTCTTTTAACAGATCTTTATCAATTTACAATGGCTTATGCTTATTGGAAAGCTGGAAAACACAATGAACGAGCTGTGTGAGTGCCTGCATATTATTGATTTTCTATCAATTTGTCATGCATTTGATGTGTTTGATATAATGTGCAAGTACCGAAATTATTCATTTTGGCAGTTGATAGGGTCTAGAATTGTGATTGATCATTTTCTTCGTTGTTGAAAGATAAAGAATTAATATGAACAATTGTTGAGGATCAACTTGTGGAGATTTCTAACTTTTATTCATCTGATCAAGTGCCTTATTGAAAATACAAAACAGAGGACACACTTATTTATTAATCTTATATATGCATGCCTTATGACGGTTATGCATGAGTTCGGCTGAAACTTACACTTACAAATCGTTAAAATTATTCTTTTTATGTATATATTATAGATGTTGAACTCCCTTTAGCCTTTTTCGTGTTTACTGCTTTCATATTTTGAACCTCCTTAGTGAAAATCCTGTCTCCGCCATTGCATTCCGACATAAGAGTATAATTCCATTTTGTGGGCCTAATATGTGGAAGTGTTTGGAGTAATGGCAGGCGATAAGATTCAAGCTCAAGATATCTGATTGCTTCACCATGTTTATTTGATGAAGCAACTCGTATTTTATAGCGGGACATACTCATTTTTATGTTGATCAGTTTAATTTAGAGAAGGACACATTAATTTGTTTATTTTAAGTTTACAACAGTAATATTCTTATTCAGTTGTTGAGAAAATGTTTGTTCATCTAAAATCTAAGTGAGCCACTAAATGACTTGTCCCTATTTGGTTGAATATTTCAGGTTTGACTTGTATTTCCGTAAGAATCCATTTGGTGGTGAATATACAATATTTTCTGGGTTAGAAGAATGCATAAAGCTTATTGCTCATTACAAATTAACTGAGGATGAGATAGCTTTTATCAGGAAATCATTGCCCCCGTCGTGTGAGGTAGATTAATTATTGACAAAGTAAATAAACAGTTGTAATGTGTGTAAAAGTTATATTTGACTAGAGATAGAAATCTGCTTGTATCTTTTTGTCCTTTTAGGGTTATTCATTGTTTTTTATTATTATATAATATGTCATTATAGGAAACTTGTGCATGAATTCTGGAGGATTAATGTTTTTCTTGTTTCATGATACCTTAGTGAAATATGATTATGAACGAAACCTGGGTAATTAATGAGATTACGTAACCATGAGTGGTTATGAGTGAACTGGTGGCTTATTTCTAGTCATTACTTTTATTCCAGATGTTGCTTTGGCAACATATCAAAGTGTATCTAGATAATTTTGGCAAAAGCTGTCGTCGTCTAATTTATTTATCTTTCATTTGGCATATGTTCCTTTGCTGCTATGGATTTTTGGTTATCATAAAGGAAAGAGGTTCATGCCATATTTGTACACTAAATTGTTATGAATATACTGAAGCAGTTATGGCAAGTCAGAGTAGTTGTAATTTTGTTCACATTGGTATCTAACCCCGCATCTTCTTTGAGAATTTTTTTTCTGCTCTCATGAACATACCATCTCATTCTGTTGAGAAAATCAGGCAGTGTTTCAATATCTCGTCTTCTAGTTGTTTGTGCCTTCATACTACCTTTTCATGTATGCTTGAAGAATTGTTTGACATACTTAGGGGCTCTTTTGGTTGGGGAAAGGGTTATCCCGGGATTGTTATCTCACCCTCAATGTGGGATAAAAATAACACGACAATCCCGTGATAACTAATCCCGGGATAAGTTATCCCCTGACTTTATCCCAACCAAACATGGGATAAACTCATCCTAAAATTAATCCCGGGATTAATTGTCCCTTATCCCTCATGACAAATGAGCCCTTACAGTCTTAAGTGCTTGAGAGATAAGCATCTGCTAATGGACTTTGTAGGATGCCTTCTATAACTACCTTCGAGGAATTGACTGTTCAGATGTTGAGATATTTTCTATACCTGAAGGTTCAGTTGTCTTTCCCAAGGTGCCACTGATGAGGATTGAAGGGTCCATTGCTGTGAGTACCAACTAAACTATCCTTTGATTCATGCTTGTCCTTGAAAGATGCATTGTTCTCAGTATTGATGCTTCATGCATTTTCTCAAACTTCTGTTCGATTGTCATATCTGGGAATTGCTTTTGAATCTCGAAGGTGGTTCAACTACTAGAAACTGCACTTGTCAATCTCATAAACTATGCATCGCTAGTCACTACTAATGCAGCAAGACATCGTTTTGTTGCGGGAAAGTCCAAGCTGCTGCTGGAATTTGGGCTTCGAAGAGCACAGGTTTCTCATCTTTCCTTCCAATAACTTGAAATTGGAAGGTCTCTCTTACAAATGATTCGATGATCTTTGCTTCTTCATGAGTAGGGTCCAGATGGTGGTATATCAGCTTCGAAATATTGCTATATGGGAGGATTTGATGCAACAAGGTGATTCCATACACAATCTATCCTGTTATAATCTGTTTCCATGAAATAGTGCAATTATCTATTCCTCTTTCTAAGTGAGATGCAGTTTTTAATTTCATTTGGACATCCTTTTTATTTTGAAATAAAATTAAAGTTTAAGATTCTTAGAACCAGTTAGTCATAAATGATATAAAAAAAAAACAGCTTGTCATAACCGTACAAATGTGTCACTGTACAATTGGTATGATTGAGAACACACTCAATTGGCCAGATTCTTGAACAAGTAGTTCGCAGATAGTCACCCACGACAACTATGCCTCGAATGTGCTTTCTTGTCAAGTGCTTTTAAATTCCAAAATTTTCTTTTATAAGTAAAGGATGTTCTCTCTTCTAGAAACAAAATTGTACCTTTTCTGAAATGATCAGTACACTGGGAGATCATGAAATTTGACCTTAAAATGGAGAAGATCACATGAAGCTAGACGCTAGAGTAGGCTCTCGATAAGGATAGTTGACATCAATTGAGATTATTCGAACATTTCATTTACTTTGAATTTCTTTTCCTTTTGCTTTCTAGATGGGCTGAGCTTTCGTCAATACGATGAATATGTATCTCTTGATAAGCAACTCTTAACTTCTCAGATTATTTTTTACTGTTGCATTTGCTGAAACATAAAGTTTTATTAGCTTTTTATGTTTTATTAAGAAGTAACTGTTTTTTCGTAAAACCTAGAGTATCGTGGTACTTTTTCCCTATTTTTTGGAGATTTAATTGTTTATCATATTAATCTAGCCATGAGGATATATCTCTTCAAAAACTTTATTTGGCAGCAATGTGGCAGCTGGGAAGTTATTTGGGATCCCGCTCCGTGGAACACATTCCCATGCCTTCGTTAGCTCATTTATGGTAGGTGGAACCTTGCAATAGCTTTTCCTTCTGTGTAATATAAGTCACACTTTTAGTATAAGTGTTTCTAAAGTTTGTTTGTCCCACAGAATTCACAATGATCTTTGCTTACATACTTGGGATGTTCAAGGATCATAACTGAAAGGTGTCTTAGAATTATCAAGAAACAATGGGGTCGTTTGGTATGGTGTATAAAAGAATAGTACTGAATAGGGTGTAATACATGTATTATTTTCTCTAATACCTCCCTACCAAACAACCCCTAAGGGGTCGATTCGTTGCTGATTTGATTTATGCATGTATTACTAATACAAGGATTAGTTATGCAAGGATTAGTAGAATGTACTGATTCGTTATCAAAACATTCCCATGTATGGTTGGCTTAAATGCTTTGAATTATTTTTTTCTTAAGAACACATTATCCTCTTTCGGGAAAATTAACCTCCCTATCAAGAGGATTAGGTCATTTTCCAAAACTCTCTCATGCCATTTTCTCTGACCCCACATCCACCCCACCCCTGCGAAAGTTGATTACTATTGTCTACTTACTATTCAAACACTAGAAAATTCAAACACACCCTAGATCTTCTAATTTCATCTTTTTACATAAATTCTAGTTTGTTTTGATTCAAGATCGAAATTAATTATTATATTACTGTTACTGTTATTTTGGTAGGTGCAGATCATCATTTAGATCTTTTAAGTATTTTATTTAGATGCACACATACCACTTTACCTTTTACATATCTTCTTATGGTGATAGAAATAAGCCCAATTTGGATATTGGAAAAGATGGTTTTTGGTTGCTAAGGAAATGTATATTTCGTAAACTATGTAATAGAGGCTTGGGATTGAGGTTTAATTGATTTTGATTTGAACTCTGTAATAGAACCCTTGATTGTTGGAAGGGGTTGTCAAATAAAGATTTTCGTTTGCAGAAATTATATTTGAAAAGGTAGAACAGACGTGCTTTCTTTGTAGGTCCTTGTATGCATAAGTGCATACATTCATGTAAATATGTGATTGCTTGGAGAACAAGTATACTTCAGTAACATATACTTGCATCACTTGACAATTTTACTCATGGATACTTGTGACAATGAGATAATCAAAACATCTTTCTATAAGTTGAAGTAAAATCCACTTTATGTGAGTTCGAATTCCAACTTATGTGTTTCTTGTTCTCCATAAATTAAAGCAATATTCACTAGCTTTAGCACTTCTTATTGAGTGAGTTGCAGTGGCGGAGCGAGGAATTTAAACAAGGGGATTCAAAAAAGAAAAGAAAAATTGTGCAAATGGGATTCAATAACTCATGTATATACAAAAAAAATAATCATGTTTACCCTACTTACATAGTATAATTTTTCAACAAAGGGGGTTCAGTTAACCCCCTTACACCCCTCTGCCTCTGCCCTTGGTGAGTTGTCAGCAGTCAACTAGTGAGGCCTGGTCTTTAGCATGGTTTCTAATTTAAAGGTTTAGGTTTTTCTATTGATTGGTTATGTCTCGTTCATCTTGTTAATAATGAAGATAAACAGAATGGTTATATAAGGACTATCTAAATTATAATTGGTCTCTAGATGCTCAATACTTGGGATTTTATGCTCACTGTCTTGTCCTGGATCAAAGTTATATGTTCCCTGATTTTATCTAATATTATGCAGAGCCTAGATGAGATCACTGAGAGATCACTTACGCACCTTGATAGTCCCAAGGTTTGTAAGGATTTTGTTTGTCTAGTGAAGACGTGGCTTACTAAATTAAAGGTATTATTTCACCCTTTTAATTTAACTGCTGTGTGCTTGTTGGCTTATTATTGTCTACTTCAATATCCAGCCATCAGATTTTGTTCTAAATTATCCATTTAGTTCTGACTTTGCACTTTGGGCATGTTTTGTCCCGTACTTTCAAGTATCCTTTATGTTTTGGTTTCACCTTTTCATTCCTCCCTATTAATTTTACTCGGGGGGCTTCTAATTTTCTAGTATGACCACTCAAAATTTGATTAATCTAGGAAGTGTTGGGGGTTTATCCAATTCAGGTGGTTGTCCGGATGTAAATGCTTATCACTCTTTACCTGTGTAAGCCCGTTGCATAAGGGTAATAGGTTGTCTTATGTTTGGACCTAGTCACGAGTGAGTTCACCTTAACCTAAGTGGTAGCTTGAAGTGGCAGGCAGCTTAGTGGATAAGTGGCTAATTGCTTACTTGTGATCCCAAGGTATGATTCCCATTTGAGAGACTTTTTGAATTTCAGCTTTAGTCCAAATACCATTTCAAGCGGCTGTACAGTCAGTGGTAGCATATCATTCTTGATCGTGCCAGTTAATCATCATTCCCCATTTGATTTACCTACTCTGGAAACAACTCAGGTGTCAGAATAAATGATAAAGATCCTTACATATTACATAGGAGTTGATTACGTGGAAACATTTTTTTATTTATTGCAGCTTAGCTTTCTTTTTTTATATAACCATGGTATCCGGGCCAACTTGCGGGGTCTCGGCTTATTCCACGGATATCTGCCACCTCCCACTTGCAACAGGTTGGTACCAGGTAACTCTATCTACCAAGGCTAGGACAGATGGGAAGAAATCACCTAGTGTTTTTGTCTCTGCTGGGATTGGGATTTAAACATGAGACCTCGTGGTTCTCACCCCTTCATTGACCACTAGGTCACACCCTTGGGTGCTTTATTGCAGACTTATCTTGGACTCCCATAATAAAGCTGAAAGCCGGAAAAAAGATCTTCTATCATCTGGGTGTATTCTTAGTTCCTGCAGACATCTCTATTTATATCTGTCTAATATAATTGAAGGGACTGCCTAATTTTCCTGTCCTCCCTTCCTGTATTAGAGATTACAAACAATTGATTCTTAATCAAAATTGAGCAACTCTCAAATCTTCAAATTTTAAGTGATGAAGGTGGTTGATGCTTCTTCTCTTCCATTTTGAACTTGGATATCATTGTTATGATGACTGTGCTATCTTCAGCGGTCACGCTTATTAGGTGGAATTTTCAATGAGACAAACCAAAGTGAATTAGCAGCTTTCGCCTCATATGGGCTCGCCTTTCCTGGAAGCTTTTTGGCCCTTGTCGATACTTATGATGTAAGTGCAATTTTAGATACTTCTGCCACTGCTTTATTTTGTTTTTGGGATACTTGACCTTTTATCTGTAAACTATGCATGTCTAGTTTAATGAGCAAAAATTCTTCGTAATTTGCGTTAATATCCTAAAATAAGGAAATCTACTTTGAAAGAGAAGGGAATAATCATGGTATCCAGTTGTCAGCTCAGGCATAATCTTCAGCTTGCAGGATTTTAGTTTCATAGTGTATTTCTACTCTGTTCTGATAATCTGCTCTGGCACATACTTACTTTCTTATTGACCATCTATAACTTGTACTTTAACAGGTCATGAGAAGTGGTGTTCCAAATTTTTGTGCAGTTGCTCTTGCACTTAATGATTTGGGGTAAGTGCTTCCCCTGACAAGTTCTATTTTGTGTCATCTACTTCGTATGATGCTTATTAGATTAAAAGGTATGCTGCTGAATATTTGATGATATATTGAACCGATGGAAAAGAGATGCCAGCTCGAATTCCTAGTGCTTTTTTGTTAATCTGATCTTGTCAAGCTTTGTAGTGTTTATGTTTTCCTTTTTGTGTTCTCTCGCATTTATGAACTAGCTAAGAATAGGGCAGAATAGAAGGGAAAGATCCATATAAGTGATAGATACTAGTTGAGGATAAGCTTAAGACTCGTATGCAACTTTTATAACTTGTAGTATCATATATATATAAAATTTAACGTATTTTTAACTTTTATTTTATTCATTATGATATGAGCGTAAATGACGAAATGAGAATTCATATAGCCGACCCCGACTTATTTGGGACTGAGACATAGTTGTTGTTGTTTATTGTATTTGTCTTGAAAGAGGTCTCACCGAAATCTGATATTGTAGGCTCCCTGCCTCCCACACCCCCAAAAAGAAAAGGCCAAAAAAAAAAACTACGGAAAATAAATAGCTGAAAAAAACAAAAAGGAGTTGAGAAGCTTAGATATCCGAGGCCTTCTTTCCCTTGAGCACATTGTGTTCATGTTATGGAAAATTATCCACTTTTTTTGGTCGAGAGAGCACAGTTTTTTTCTTAACTTAGCATGATTACCTCCTTTTACTGTCCAAATTAATAGTTCTCTCCTCTAAGGATTTATTATTTTAGTTGAAACCATCATTTGTTTGACCAAGTCTGTTTCTACTTGATGTATTTTTTATTTTCTACTGTAGTTATCAGAATATGTCCATGCCTTATTATGTTTGTCGTTTTTATGTTATATTTACAGGTATAGAGCAGTTGGCGTTAGATTAGATTCTGGTGATCTTGCTTATCAGTCATGCGAAGCCAGGAAATTCTTTCAAACTATTGAAAAAGAGTTTGGAGTGCCTGGTTTTGGAAAGATGAACATCACAGCTAGCAATGACCTTAATGAGGAAACATTGGATGCGCTAAAGAAACAGGTTAGAGCACCAGGAATCCAACACACGCGTAACATGCAGAATCCTGTCCTATGTCATCGACCTCTATAATGTCTCCCATTGCCATAAAAGTTTTCTTCTCTAGCTGTCTTCTTGCGCTTCACTTTGTTATAACCTGGTCCAGCTTCATTATTTCCATTTGTTTAACTATGCATGTGTGTGTGTGTTTATGTATATATATGTCAGTAGTTCTCATCAATATCCTCATGTTGCTTATAATGTTATAGAGACAACTCCTTAAAATGTCAAATATTTGTCGAGTGTGGTGACTTTAAGATCTCTTCGTCTAAATTTTGGAAGTAAACTGAGCTAAATATTATGTAACAAGCAAACCATTAAGTAATGAAAATATATGGCGGTTCGCGCTCATGTCAGTTTTAGCACTCAAGAATCGACCAGGAAAAAAGGATGCAAGAATACAACACTAAATTATGCTAATAAAATTTAGTTCTTTGCATTACCTCCTAGTGTATGTTCATTGTTTTAAAATTCTGAGGCATGGGTATACACTTCCGACTAGATACTTTTCATTCTTATAACCTCAAATTCTTGAGTCTATAGCTTGAATTCATGCATTGTATGCACTGCCTTCTGTTGTTTTCCCATGATTGAAAGGTAGATATTTGACTTACTTCCTAAACAGGGACACGAGGTTGATTCTTTTGGTATTGGAACACATTTGGTTACCTGTTACGCACAGCCCGCTCTAGGTGTTGTTTTCAAGTTGGTTGAGATAAATAATCAACCTAGGATCAAGCTTTCTGAAGATGTTACAAAGGTTTGCTGAAGCTATGCTCTCTTCTCTTGGCATTTCAGATCCAATATGGATTTCATTCTATTTCCTCTTTATTCCATGATATGGACGTTCATTCTGTTTCCTTTCTAGGTCTCCATTCCATGTAAAAAACGGTGTTTCAGATTGTATGGGAAGGAAGGCTACCCCCTTGTTGACATAATGACCGGTGAAAATGAGCCACCTCCTAAGGTACTTTGATTTATTTTATTTTATCAGTACATCCTAAGGCATTTTATCAAGCTTGTCATGTCTAGTTCTTAAGTGGCGTTCCATATGATTTATCTGGTGTATATAACGGTTAACAAAGAAACATTGACAGGTAGGTGAACGAATTTTGTGTCGTCATCCGTTTACTGAATCTAAAAGGGCATATGTTGTTCCCCAACATGTTGAGGAGCTTTTAAAGTGTTTTTGGCCTGGAAGTTCAGGTGAGACTTGTTATCTTTCGAGTTATATTAATTATTAAGCTGGAAAATGTTTTTTAAAGAATGTGACCCTATAGTCTTGGAATTCCTAAATACATATCGGGCTGTCTTAGCTACGGTTTGTGAGTTGCAAGTTATTTGCAAAGTGACTAGGACTTCAAACTGCTACATTTTCCTTTCATGAAGACATTCTTCAATCATCTTGTATGGAGGTTTAGGCATTAAAAACAACCAAGCCATTTAAATTGTGTTCTTTTTTTTCCAAACTGGGGGGAGGTTGACGATGTAGATAAAGAAAAGTAGATTGTACAATTTTTTCCTCGTCTCGTTTCCACAATAAAAAACAAGAAAAACAGTTGTTGAAATGTAAAAATTCTGCAGAACTTGTTGGCACAAAGTCTACTTCAGTTTTATCAACTATTCCAGGGGCAGATAACCTTGCCCCGACCGATGTCATGTGACACCAGTTCGTATATATAGATAATATATAAGCAAAATGAATGATATTGGGTATAAATATAACAAAAGAGACCACTTTCCATTATAGTGATCTTAATTACTTGTTCACTTCTGCGCAAAATTTTGGAGTGTTGACACTGCTTACATAAAATTCTGTATATGCCACTAAAATGATATGTGAGTGAAAATGGTCGATGAGTCTATGCATCCAATATTGAAAAAAAATTGATGTTAATTTTTATCATTTCTGAAGATAAAATACAAGAAGATTTGCCTCCATTGAAGGACATAAGGGAACGGTGTATTGAACAACTGGAGCAGATGCGGCCAGATCACATGAGAAGGCTGAACCCAACACCATACAAGGTATGCTGATGAGAAACCTAGTACTTATTCGAGTTATAGTTTTTTTTCACTGCGCAGCATCTAAATGTGGGTTCAACTGGACTTTGTTGGTTTTCCTTGATTTTTTTCTGAGCAGGTTAGCGTGAGCGCAAAGTTGTATGATTTCATCCATTTCCTCTGGCTCAACGAAGCCCCGGTTGGGGAGTTGCAATGATCGATCAAATGAAGGAATATAATTTTTGGAAGATTCTTTTTGCGCAGCATAGTTGGTTCGAAAAGGATCTTCTAATAACATGTACATCTTTTTTCCTTTTCTTTTCCTTTTTTCTGGGCAGTGGAGTATCTAAAATATCTTGGATATTTATATTATGAATAGAATAAAAGCCAGTTTTTTCCCCTTTGTTTTCTGTTATAAATAAGAAAGAGAAATAAAGTAATTGAAAAATAAAGCAGATGTAGGCTATGTTGGCTTGACCCTGATGATATATGTGATCGAGGTTGATGAATTTCCTTCAAGCTCAACAATGGAGTAATTGGAGAAAAGAAAAATACACAAAGGAAGAGAGAAAATAACTTGCTTCTCTATTTCTGGAAGATACTAAACTGTATTACAATTACAATGTAGTGAGTATATATAGGATTATCTAATCTACTCTAAGCTAACATTTACAGCTCAGCAACAACTGACAATTACTCTGCACTAATCGACTCTAACACACCTTTTGACAGAATAACTAACTCCTAACCACCTTTAACTAACTTTTAAACTAACCATTCTATTTCTCAACACTTCCCCTCAAGCTAGGTAGTGTGAATAAGTCCACACTCCTAGCTTGCGCAAGAGATAGTTATGTTGTGATCCATTCAATGCTTTTGTGAACAAGTCTGCTTCTTGATCCTTAGAAGTTACATATATTGTCTTTATTGTTCCATCTTGAATTCTCTCTCGAATGAAATGAAGGTCTATTTCAATGTGTTTGGTTCTTTCATGGAATATGGGATTTGCAGCAATCTGGATTGCTGTCTTACTGTCACTAAGCAACTTCACTGGAGTCGCAACATCAACCCTTAGTTCTTTGCAAATTCCCACCAGCCAAAGTCTATCTGAAATAGCTACAGTCATGCTCCTGTATTCTGCCTCTACTGCACTTCTAGAAACAATGCATTGTTTCTTTGATTTCCAGAATTCCCTAGTTTCATCACATATCCAGTGATGGACCTTCTTGAGTTAGGGCACTTTGCCCAATCTGCATCACAAAATGCATTTAGTTGTGTTCCCTTTCTTAGCTTAGAAGTATTCCCAAACCTAGTTCATTTTTAACATATCTCACCACCCTGTAAGCTGCATTTATATGAGATTTCTTAGGTCAATGCATGAACTGACTGAGCATGTACACGGCATATGTAATATCTGGTTTGGTCATAGTTAGATACAATAATTTTCCTACTAGCCTTTGGTAAGGACCTGGATCTTCTAACTTGTCATCACTTAGCTCTCCCACATGTTCATCATATTCCATTGTGGTTAGTTTTTTATTGCATTCCATTGGAGTATTCACTGGTTTGGACCCTGCTAGTCCCAAGTCTCTGATTAATTCTAGAGCACACTTTCTCTGATTCATGAGTATCCCTTCATGTGACCTAGCTATCTCAATCCCAAGAAAGTACTTCATTTCACCTAGGTGCTTGATTTTAAACATCTCCTGCAGTGCTATTTTTGCTTCCTAATTAATATATGATCATTTCATGTGATGAGCAGATCATCAACATAGACTAAGATGATTACTATGATGTCTCCCACCTTCCTTGTAAATAAGGAGTAATCAAAATGGCTCTGTATGAATCCTGAACTGGCTAAAAGCTCAACAAGTTAAGTTCCATTGTCTTGACGCCTGTTTGAGCCCATAGAGGGATTTGTGCAGTCTACATGCTTGCTGGCAACTATTCTCCCCCTGACGGACATGTATACCTCTTCAACCAAATCACCTTGAAAAAAGGCATTGAACACATTCATTTGGTGTAAACACCAGTGATTAGAAGCAGCTAAAGCATGCACTAATCTAACAGAGACCATTTTGACTACAGGAGAAAAAGTCTTCTGATAGTACAATCCCTCTTTCTGGTTGTAGCCCTTGGCTACTAACCTTGCCTTGTACCTCTCAACTTCACCATCAGCCCTGTTCTTCACTTTGAAAACCCATTTATAACCTATTGGAGCTTTTCCGGGGGGAGATCAACAATGGACCAAGTATGATTGTCCTGTAATGCAACTAGTTCTAGGTTCATAGCAGCAACCCACATAGGATCTGTGACAGCTCATCATATGATTGAGGCTCCCTGATGGGAGTGATTTTGGACAAGTAGGACTGATAGACAGGACTAATAGTCCTGGCAGTGGATAAGTAAGATTGCATGGGGTAAACACAATAGGTAGAAGTAGGAGCTGAGTAGGGTTTACCACATACATATTGTTGCAACCAATTCGGAGGAGCTTTGGTCCTTGTGGACCTTCTGTGAGGGACCAAAGAAGGTGCAGTATTGGTAATATCTGAAGATGATTCTGTTTGTGGAGAGGGAGAAGTCATGTTGGAGGTCATCTGAGGAAATGTGATAGGAGCAGGGTCAGGGCCTATTTGAGATAGGACACCATTGGGGAACACCTGCATTTTTTGTTGTCTTTGATCATCTGAAAAGGAAATAAATTTTCTCTGAAAGAAACATCTCTGCTCACAAAGAAACTGTTAGTAAGCAGGTTATAAAGTCAATATCCTTTCTGAGTGGAAGAATAACCCATCAATATGGTTGCAATTGACCTTGGTGAAAACTTATCCCCACCATAGATGATGGTGGCAAAACACAGGCACCCAATGGTCCTTATGTGTTGCAATGAAGGGACTTAAGCATAGAGAACTTCAAAGGATGATTTCCCAGATAGGACCTGCATAGGCAGTCTATTCATCACAGACAACATTCAGGACACACTCATTCCAGAACTTCAAGGGTAAAAAACCTGACAGCCTAATAGCTCTAGCAACCTCCAAGATGTGTTTGTGTTTTCTCTCCACCAGCCCATTTTGTTGTGGTGTGTGAACACATGAGCTTTGATGGATAATACCAGATGAACTAAACAAATGTGTACAGCTAGAATTAAATAATCCAGTCCCATTGTCACTTCTAAAAATTTCCACATGTTCATTGAATTGAGTTTTGATTAAGGCAAGGAATTGCCTTAGTACAACAATGACATCACACTTCATTCTCAACATATACACCCAAGTCATCCTACTACAATCATCCACTAAAGTGAGAAAGAATCTACAACCATTATGACTAGGTACCCTATATGGTCCCAAACATCACCATGTATGGTGTGAAAAGGTTTATTGCATCCATTATAACTAGAAGGAAAAGGCATTCTGGTTTGCCTAGCTAGTGGGCAAACATCACATGGCTGAACCTCATCCCAGTTATTTTTAAACTTCAGAGAAGAAACCTGCTTCAGCACTCTAGCTAGAGCATGTCCTAGCCTTCTATGCCAAATTTTCATGTCTGCAAAACTTCCTACTTTGTTATTGTCACTATAAACCATACTTGCTGATGTCAGTTGAGATTTATTCTCCTCCTTCTTTATGGGCAATTGAATATTGTATAAACCATCAACCTCCCTACCAATCCCCTTCACCACTCCACTGTGAAGATCCTGCATTACACAGAGATCAGGAAAGAAAGTGACAACACACTTTAAATCTTTGATCAATTTGGAAACTGATAGGAGGTTATGTGTAAAATCAGGAATACACAATACATTGTTTATAGTGTGATCATTGTCTAGTCTGCACCTTCCCACACAAGCTACTTCTAGTGTATTCCCATCTGGCAAAAAAACTCTCATGGTGTTCTGATCATTTATTTGACAAATTCCATTCAATATGTCCTTATTGTAGACCATATGATTAGTGGCCCTCGAATCTATAATCTACTTTCTAAAGGTTTCACTATTAGTAGCCATAAATACTTGAGTCATACTTGCCATCTGCTTGTCTGAATCAGTTGATACCTCTTTGTGAAGCATCTTTAAAATCTGATCATATTGTTCCTGAGTGAACATCATGCCACCTCCTTGGTTGTAACTTGGGAAGATTGATCCATTTCCTGTGAGTTCCTGCATTGGAAAGGATCATGACTAGTAGTTTTTGTGACTGCATTTGCTGAGTAGTGCTTCTTCTTAGGTTTGGAGTCTCCAAGAAATCCATGTAGTCTATAACATCTCTCTCTTGTATGTCCCCTCCATTTACAATAATCACAGTACAAATACCTATTTTTGCCTTTGTAAGTTCCCCTTCCATAAGGACCAGGAGGTCCAGGATATCCAGATGAGCCAGCTTGACTGTATTTCCCTAAAGAACCTGGTTCAAAACTTGAGGGCTGATTAGATCCTCTTTTGTTGCTGAATAGAGATATGCCATCTGATCCTTTAGACATTTTCCCCAAATTCCTCTGGCTTTCCTCAGATACAAGCATGGTATATGCCTTGTTGATATTGGGAATAGGTATCATCATTAACATCTGACTCCTAGCTTGTGAATACGTTTCATTTAAGCCTATCAAAAATTGTAAAAGTCGTTGATACTGATAGTGCTCAGCATACTTCTTAGATTATGGACGTTCACATCCAGGACAGGGTACTAAGGAATCAAATTCCACCCACAAATCATTTAGCTTAGTGAAATAGCTCGAAATAGAGGATGTTCCTTGTGTTAGTGATCCAATTTCTCTGTGCAGTTGAAACACTCTAGAACCATTCTCCTTATCGAAACTCTCCTTCGAGTCATTCCACACCATACATGCACCAGAAGCATAAGCTACACAACTAAGCAAATCTTTGCTCACTGAGCTCATGATCCATGATAGAACTATGGCATTAACTTTCTCCCATAGATCGTGAAGTGAGGATGGAAATTTTGTCATTCGTGTGTCTCCCATCTTACTTTTACCTAAATGCCCAATTCTCATAGATTTGCTCCACAGAGCATAGTTTTCAGGACCAGTAAGCTGAAAAGAAATGAGGGAACTACCTGGTGTGTCGCATCCTTGCAGATATAGAGGATGATTGACATCAATTGTTGTAGTCATTCCAGTACTGTTTCCGGTGTTATTCTCCCCATTCATTACCATTGTTGTTAACTGAAGAATCGTGAAGATCTCAGTTGGTCAGATCACAATCGAAACTAAAACTCAACAATTCCAAGACATGAGCAATTCAATTCATCACTCCTACTCTGATACCATGATGAAATTCCTTCAAGCTCAACAATGGAGTAATGGAGAACAGAAAAATACACAAAGGAAGAGGTAAAATAACTTC